TGTTAGTGTGTTCTTTTTCACCTACCGTTATCTATACTAATACTAGGTGAATCGGTTAATAATGTGGATTTTTTTCAATAGATGGAGTTACACATATGTTGACATATATGCGATTTGATATGTATGCTATTTTGTTGTATTGACAACAAGCTTCAAAACTTCATATGTCAAATTTTCTGAAGGTGTTAACATCATAGATATTTTTATGCTTAAAAATGTCAAATTTCATGCCAAAAAGAGAGCATTTGTGGGAAATGTTAATTCCTTACGTTATTTTGAAGAAAAGTACTGCTGAAAGTTTTCGGATACTTCGGGAAGCTTATGGTGAACATGCTCCATCTCAAGATACTTGTGAATGCTGGTTTAAATGCTTTAAAAGTGATGGTTTCGATGTGAAAGACAAAGAACGTCCAGGTCAACCGAAAAAGTTTGAGGACCAACAATGACAAGCATTATTGGGTGAAGATGCGTGTCAAACTCAAAAACAACTTGCAGAAAGATTAAACGTTGCTCAGCAAACAATTTCCGATTGTTTACATGCAATGGGAAAGATTTTAAAGGAAGGGAAATGGGTGTCACATCAACTGAACGAAAGACAAATGGAAAACCGAAAAGTCATCAGTAAAGTGTTGCTTCAGTGGCACAAAAGAAAGTCTTTTTTTGCATCGAATTGTGACTGGCGATGAGAGGTGGATTTATTTTGAGAATCCCAAACGCACAAAATCATGGGTTGATCCAGGTAAACCGTCAACATCAACTGCAAGGCCAAATCGCTTGGGAAAGAAGACAATGCTCTCTGCGTTTGGTGGGATGAGGAAGGTGTGGTGTATTATGAGCTTCTAAAACCAGGTGAAACCCAACAAATAATCAATTTAAATCATGCTTTGATTGTAAAATGACCAGAATGGGCCAGAAGACACGGCAAAGTAATTTTGCTTCACGATGACGCACCATCACACACTTCAAAACCAGTTAAAGACACATTAAAAGATCTTGCCTGGGAAGTATTAACCCACCCACTGTATTCACCAGACCTTGCTCCTTTAGATGACTACTTGTTCCGATCGATGGTACACGCACTTTCTGAGCAGCACTTCAAAACGTACGAAGAAGTGGAAAACTGGGTCTCTGAATGGTCTGCCTCACAACAAGAAAAGTTCTATTGGGACGGTATCCACAAGTTATCTGAAAGGTGGGGGAAATGTGTAGCTAGCGATGGACATTACTTTGAAAAAAGCACTTTTGATGTTTCTCTTGAAATCATCATGTTTTCTTTGATTAAAAAATCCCAATTTTTAACCGGTTAGTAGTTAATCCGAATTTTTAACCGGTTAATAGTTAATCCGAATACCAGTTAAAAATGCTGCAGTGAACATAGGGGTGCATTTAACTTTGTGAATAAATGTTTTCAGATAGATACTCAGAAGAGGGGTTGCTGAGTCATTCTTTGGCTTTGAATAATTATTTTTTGGGGAACGGCCAAGTCCATATTCTCGAACAAAAAATCGCAAACCAAGCAACTAAAAACATTAATGCTGACTAGTGTGTCCATTCATTTCAATTAATTTGATTTAGAACAAATCAGCAGTGTGCCAGGGAGCGCAAGGAATAAACAGAAATGGCGTCTACGGTGAACACTCCTTTGAAAACTCCCATTCACACTCCCTCAATGCCGTGTGGGGGGCCTTTATCTCAGCTACACTTCCTGTGTCCAGGCCACAGGTTTCCACCTGAGATGCCCACATCATACTTTCTCTCTCTGGGGGCTGTAGGTAAAACAAAATGCAGAGGTGACATTCAGAACAGGCATTGGTTATGTAACAAACACAGGGAGGGGCAGAAAGACAGGGATCAGAGACTACAAGGGTATGTTGCAGAATGCATTGGAGTGAACAGGGAAGCCTTTTGAGGAACCTAGACTCCGCCCGGGGTCAGGTGTCCTATGCAGATGGACTCCGAGACCAGGTTTGAATCCAGTGTCTCAGGAAATGCTGCCGCTCTAGCCCACTCTGCTCAGAACATACTCTGAATCTCAGCTTCAATATGTTTGTACGTCTCTGTCACCTCCCAACCACAGGCTTGGGCCTTGAGCCCCTGTCTATGTTAAGGCCTGTGGATTAAACATGCTGCTAGATCAGGGGTCCTCAAACTACGGCCCGCGGGCCACATGCAAATACAAATATTGTATTTGTTCCCATTTTGTTTTTTTACTTCAAAATAAGATATGTGCAGTGTGCCTAGGAATTTGTCCATAGTTGTTTTTTTAAACTATAGTCCAGCCCTCCAACGGTCTGAGGGACAGTGAACTGGCCCCCTGTTTAAAAAGTTTGAGGACCCCTGTGCTAGATGATCTACCTGGTTTGGGATTATGCCCATTGATTTTTCTGCCCCCCAAATTTTTCTGATATTGTCCCTTTATGTCCATAACACAGAAAAGTTTCCTTCCACCATTAAACCCCACTGAGGCGTCCAAACCCAAGGCTACGCCTGACAATCGGGGCTCCTACTTAGGTGGAAAGGGAGCTCAGACACTACCTGAAGACAGGATTGCTCCCCACATCTCTCAGAAAACCCCAAATGAGCAGAGAAGTCAATTTGTTTAAGGAGACAGAGATAGAGTCATTTTGTGCAAGGCATGTCTCCAATTCAGGGACACACTGCCACGGGGAAGGAAGAATTCTGAAACAGGTCCAATTAATTAAAAAATACATTTTTATTGATTTCAGAGAGGAAGGGAGAAGGAGAGAGAGATAGAAACATCAATGATGAGAGAGATTCATTGATTGGTTGCCTCCTGCATGCCCCCCACTGGGGTCCAGCCCATAACCCAGGCATGTGCCCTTGACCAGAATTGAAAACGGGACCCTTCAGTACGCAGGCTGACACTCTGTCCACTGAGCCAAACTGACGAGAACCAGGTCAAATTAATTTTATTTTTCTTACAAGAATGTTCACTCACAGATGGCACATAGTGAGATACCCACTCAAGGAATTATGTCTCATTCCCACCAACTCAACAAACAAAAGATCGAGATGCTTCTCCCTATAAGACATTTCTCCATCTAAAAGCCATTCTTTATGGGGTATGTGTCTGGGGGGAAAACAGAACAAACAAAAGCATTCAACCCTCAACACCTCTTTTGTGAGGTCCCTCCACAGCCCCAGAAAAATATGCTCCATATTTCCTGCCATATTTCACATCTTTATCATGGGATGTCAGCTGCACACTTGTGTCTTTTCTCAGGCAGACTATGACTCACTCTGGTAGGATCACCTCTTCTTCATCTTTGCATTCCCCACCCACAGCACAAAGTTTTTCACCAAATGACCTCTGTCTGAGTGAAAATGAAAAGGAATTGGATCACATCTTTTATTCTTAAAAAACTGTTCTATTTGGACCATCTGAGCAGCTCCCACCAGGAAATTAAGGAATGGAAAGAGATCTTCAAGTGGACTTAGGCTCCAGCAGGGATCCACGACATGTGAAATAATTGGAGATGCATTGCCACCTCCTTCTTCAAGCTCTTGTTTCCTGAGAAACAAGGAGAATCAGCGCTGAGAAGGCTTGGAGGCATGTAGGCCAAAGGGCAGGAGGGAGTCTGTCTCCCCTGCAGGAGCATGTGCTGGCTCACCACACTGTGCTGGTAGGCCTGGCAGGCTCCTGGGTTGCTCTCTGATTCTGAGAAAGACAGACAAACTGGTCTCCACCCCTGTCCCTTCCTTTCCCATCATCCTCTTCTCAGTTTCCTTCCTTCTGGACTTCACTATTAGAATAAACTGCAATAGTTTATTCCACATGCCTTAAGTGTGCTAGGATTCTCAATGAATTCCAGTCATAAACACAATAGCGCACTGCATTGAAACAGCCCATTATTGTTCTTCTTAGGGTATTTCAGCCGAGAGAGAGAGAGAGAGAGAGAGAGAGAGAGAGAGAGAGAAAGAGAGAGAGAGAGAGAGAGAGAAAGAGGAGGGAATGGGGAACAATGTCACACCTTTTCAATGAAACTGAAACCAAAGACACAAACAATGACAGCTTGAACCCAGAATGGCCCCCTGATTGTACTGAGAAACGCAAAGCCAAGTCCAGATTTTCTAACGTGGCATCAGATCACAGTCACCATCCCACGAATTTCCCCACCTGCCCTTCCCACATTCTCATTGCCATGCTGCACCTCTACATGTAAATAAACTTGATACAGCCAGGGCCTGCTTCCAGGTCAAAACCCAACAGATAGAGTTTCTGGGTGCCAGCAGGCCACCAGTGCCTTTGTGTCACTCAGAAGAAACTTGCCTCAGGTCCCTGCTACAAGTCATTCTCTTTACACAACCCCATTTTTTCCCAACAATATGTACACCAATAAAATGAGGGTTTATTCAGTTCAGGCATTTGAGGAGACAGTAATGCAACCAAGATAGAGTGTCAGGGTGAGGAGGACAAAGAAGAGGACAAAAGGGTGCAGGTGGACAAAGAAAATAAACATTGAGAAGCAGAAGGTGCAGGTTATTCTGCCTCCTGTGGCAGGCTCCTTTCCACCGACCTCATCAGCAATATGATGTCCTCAAGATAGCACAGGCCCCAGACTCAGAAAACCAGCCCTCCAGGCTTCATTCTGCCATCACTCCTTACCTATGCTTCATGGTCAACCCACTTGAACTCTTTGTTTTTTTGTTTTGTTTTGTTTTTGTGTTTTTAAAAAATATATATTTTATTGATTTTTAACAGAGAAGAAGGGAGAAGGATAGAGAGGTAGAAACCATCTATAAGAGAGAAACATCGGATCAGCTGCCTCCTGCACACTTCCTACTGGGTATGTGCCCGCAACCAAGGTACATGCCCTTGACTGGAATTGAACCTGGGACTGTTGAGTACACAGGCCGGCGCACTATCCACTGGGCCAAACTGGTTAGGGCCCACTGGAACTCTTTGAATCCTGGTCCCCTCGTTGGAAAATGGAGGCAAATCCTAATATCTGCACTCTCCTATTTAAAAAGATATTTGTGAGAAGCATGTAAAAATAGTTTATAAGTTGCAAGTGCACTTCACTTGTTGGCTACTGCTCTTTCACTACAAGTGCTCAGGAAGAAAGCCCAGTTGATGCAGGACTTTCCTCAGAGATGATTTTACCTCCTTGTTCCTGAGGCTGTAGATCAAGGGGTTCAGCATGGGGGTGACCAGGTTATTCAGGACCTGAACCATTGCATCCAGCCAGGGGCTTGGCGTTGGCCTTAAGTAGATGAGGACCACTGGCATGTAGAAAAGTAGGATGGCAGTGAGGTGGGCGCTGCAGGTGGAGAAGGCATGGCGTTGGCCCTCGGCGGAGCGGATCTGCAGGATGGAGTAGACGATGCGGCTGTAGGAGGCGAGGATGAGAAGAAAGCAGCTGAGGGGCATGAGGCCCACACTGATGAACCCCACCATCTCCAGGGTTGCGGTGTCCGCACAAGCCAGCTTCAGCATCACGGGGATGTCACAGAAGAAGTAGTCCACCTCATTGGGGCCACAGTAGGGCAACTGGAAGGTGAGAGTGGTTAGAAAGGTGGCCTGAACACAGCCAAAAAACGAGGTCCCCGAGGCCAGGATGGCACACACCCTGGGGCTCATGATCACCTGGTAGCGTAGAGGGTGACAGATGGCCACAAAGCGGTCATAGGCCATCACCGTGTACAGGAAACACTCGGTGCAGCCCAGGAAGTGGTAAAAGAAGAGCTGGGACACGCAGCCGGCATAGGAGATGGCTCGGCTGTACCCTGAGAGGTAGAAGAGCATCTTGGGGGAGCTCACAGAAGGGAAAAATATGTCACACACAGACAGCTCACACAAGAAGAAATACATGGGAGTGTGCAGTCGAGTGGAGGAGGCAATGGCCAGCAGGATGAGCAGGTTTCCCACAAGAGTGAAGACGTAGAAGGTCAAGAACAGGACAAAGAGCATGGTCTCCAGATCCTGTGTGTGTGGGATGCCCAGCAGGATGAACTCGGTCACCACCGAGGCATTCCTCATGGCTGGGCTCAGGTCAGGCCTCGGAAAGGGACTCGAGACACCAAAGTCTGAACACCAATAGCATATTATCAAGCTGTTTGCTGAGGAGAGCTTTGGCTGTGTTTGTAACAAGCAGAACCCAGCCCCCTTAGGAATGGCAATGTCTGTATAAAACTTTGAGTTAGTAAGAGATGCTTAGGTTAGAGCCACAGTCTATCCAACCCCTGGAAGGAATGTGTATGTGGAGGCAGGTGGCTGTCTTGGATGACAAGGCCAGGAGTTAAAGTATATTCAGAACATTCTCCTGTGAAGTGGGAAACCTTTTTACAGTTCTTTAATTCATGGATTTACTCACTTTAGGCATATTTCTATTTGGAACTGTCACAATATCTCTGAGCAACAAACTCGTACTCGTTAATACCTGCTGAAAAATATCAGGAAAAGAAATGGCATTAGAAATCAGAACACTTCATTTAAACCCTGGTTTTGTCACTTTGTAGCTGTACTCCTTTAAATAATTCATACAATATTTTTAGAGACATAGTTCTATTACCTATAAAATAAAAATCATAATGATCATAAAACAACCAAAATACCCTAGCACAATAATAAAGTTTTAAAATGTCTGTGAAAATATTTGGCAAAAAAACCCCAAACATTTCCTTTCTTTTATCTTAAAAGTTATTCCTTTACGTGCTTTTCTTTAATGTTGGTAGTGTATAATTATTTGCAAATAGGTGCCTTATTAAACAACACTATTGAATAGTCTTAGATCATATCATTTCCAGATTATATCCTCCCGGAACTGGGAGATTTAATATTTGCAAATGTATCAGGAGATGCTGCTCTGGTTTTTTTGGTCCTTTTAACATTTTCTAAGAGCATTTGAGGCAAATTTGAAATGCTATGTAAAAGAAATAGTAGCAGCAAGGAAGGCACTGAATTCTTGATCCTGTGATGAAGAAAGAAATACTGGGACCCATAGGCAGAAGGTCAAAGAACAGTTCTACTGAGGAAGATTCAGCAAGTCAAGAGCAGGACACAGGGTCTGGCAGCACGGAGATCTTCTCCTCTGACAACACATACTAATATCAATACTGATACCAATACCAATACCAATACCAATACCAATACCAACACAAATACCAATACCAATACTAATACTAATGCTACATAGGTGCATGCATTGATATGTATGTCATTTAATGACTATTTGCAGTGTATCAAGTACTGGGCTTAACACTTCAAAAATATGACAGGTTTTGAAAATAAACCTGTGAGAAGAAACTATTACTACTATTGCCATCTACAAATCAGGAAACAAAACCTACAGATAGTAAGCAAGTTGCCTACATTGACCAAGCAAGCCCATGGCACAGATAAGACAAATCTTTTTCACGCTATTGTCCACGTCCTTCACCACCAGGAACACTGTCTTCTGTTTGCCTGTCTTTTTAAGGACAGCCTGTCCCATCGTTAGGCAAGGATACCCTTCTAGATGGGTTGGCATCGTCATTTCATACTTAGGTAGGAGAGGGATCCCATTTGACTTCTTCCTGGTCATTTACATGCTTTACATTAGAGCACATCCAGTTAACATCTAATTTAGTTTTTAAGATCACACAACGGGCTTATGTCTTACCTTTGACACTATACCTGAATATCAACCCCAATGTGGGAACTTGGAAGTTAAAGAGACACATTCACCATGCGGATTCCAATCATAACCTGTGGCAGGTGCCACTTCAACACATATCTAAATAGAATGGCCACGCCAAAATGAGTAACTCACCTATTGCCATAGAACTGAGCAAAAGCCAAGATGGCAAAGAGAGAAACAGTGGCATTATGGAGGGGAAATGCTGCTGACCACGGCCTTCTTGTTACTAGTTCTAGCCACACATGAGCACTACCTCTGAGCCGTGCAAATTTCTGTTCAATGTGGAGCATCTGTCCCAGGTCAGCAAAGGCTGTCTGAGGCCTATGATCAGACATGTTGACACTGGATGATGCTATAAGAAGGCCATTCTAGGAAAAAGAAGTCGGCAAGGACCAGGAAGGACCCTGTGTGTGGAGCTGGAGCTCATAGTCATGTAAGAGCTGCAGTGTGGACACTCTCACCATCTACCTGAGAGCACAGTCAAGTTTTCCATAGTGTGGTCATGAGACCTGACAGTTACTGCTTCTCGGCAGAGCACAGAGTGCTCCAGCTAACGGCGTGTCAGGTCTCCTACTTATAAAGAATCGAGTCTCCTAGGGCTTGCACGATCAAGACCTGCACATACTCTCCATGGATTGCTTCCTTGGAAGTTTTTTCAGACCCCACTTAAGCCCTATTTTGGACTCACTGATGGCTCTGAGGGAGCAATTAGTTTGTGAAACTAATGCATCATCTAGTTCTAAGATAATAGTAATGAGATCATCAGAAAGGGTGCAGTCAAGTGGGCAATATCTCTCTCTCTCCAAGATAGTTTGCATGGTGGGAGGAGCTCCAATGCTAACCTTTGATCACCTGTAGTGCTACCCCCTTTTTTGTGTGTTTTCTTTCATACCTTCAAGTCTTTGCTTGTGATGTCATGTGTCCTATCGATCGGGGAATTATGTATATATCCAGGTGACGCTACACTTACCTCTCATAAATATCACTATTCAAGACAGAAATCTAATTAGTGAATAGCTACTCATCACACGTCAACTATTATGTGCTTAAAGGCATTTTTAAAGAGAAATAGTCACATACTAGGCACATCCATAGGCGAAAGGGGGTGTAAATTATCTCAAAAGGAAAATTATGGACAAAATAGCCCATATTCAGTTAATTATTTATTCTCAGCACTTATCATGTGCTAAGTATTATGCTAAATTTTAAAAGTAGTTGTTACATTGAATCTCTAAAATAAACTTTATAAAGTAGGTGGTATTATTCTACAAAGAAACTGAAAAACAGAATAACTAACTTCATTATTGCCAAGACCGGTTTGGCTCAGTGGAGAGAGCGTCGGTCTGTGACTGAAAGGTCCCAGGTTTGATTCCGGTCGAGGGCATGTACCTTGGTTTCGGGCACATCCCCAGTGGGAGGTGTGCAGGAGGCAGCTGGTTGATGTTTCTCTCTCATCAATGTTTCTGACTCTATCTCTCTCCCTTTCTCTCTGTAAAAAATCAATAATAATATATTTTTAAAGAAAAACTTCATTATGACATAACTAGAAAGTGACTGACCCTTTATTTTCAAAGTCATATTGCTTTTAGGCAATATCTTATCAATTCCCAAATATTGGGTTCGCAGTCAAAGAGCAGCGGAGATAGATTATGTGCTTCAAATGCGGAAGGGCTGGCGGAAACTGGAAAAGCACTATTCTATGTGGAGACTCAGGAACTGTGGGAAGACCTGGTAGTAACACATTGATTTTTAATGTCCATAGAAAGTGTTTAATTATTAGATGCACATCTCAATGTACATCAGTGAAATAAGCAACCTTGTGAGGTAGCTAGCTCTTGGCCACTGGAAGGTGTAAAGAGAATCATCCTTCAGGTATGTAATTAAGGATATTCTCACTTTAAATAAATCTATTTAAAGTTCTTACTAATTCTGAAATTTTATAATTTCATCTATACTGTAAAAGTTTTCAATGACACTGACCTAACATAACAAGAGGATAATTTAATTTCATGATGATAATTCAATCAAACCTTATTAAAAATAGATCATGTACCAGTATATGACCATAGTGGTTACAATGGTAGCCATTAAAATCCAAAAACTTTATGAACACATTAAAAAATTTTTTAAAATTTATTTTTATTGATTTCAGAGAGGAAGGGAGGAGAGAGAGATAGAAACATCAGTGATGAGAGAGATTCATTGATTGGTTGCCTCCTGCACCACCCGCTCCCCCCCCCCCCCACTCCCGCTGGGATCGAGAACACAACCCAGGCCTGTATCCTTGACTTAAATCAAACCTAGGACCCTTCAGGTCCACTGAGCCTAACCAGCCAGAGCCAGGTGAAATTAACTTTATTATTCTTACAAGAATGTTCACTCACAGATGGCACATAGTGAGATACTCACTCAAGGAATTATGTCTCATTCCCACCAACTCAACAAACAAAAGATCGAGATGCTTCTCCCTATAAAACATTTCTCCCTCTAAAAGCCATTCGTTATGGGGTATGTATGTCCGGGGAAAACAGAATAAACAAAAGCATTTAACCCTCAACACCTCTTTTGTGAGCTCCCTCCACAGCCCAGAAAAATATGCTCCATATTTCCTGCCATATTTCACATCTTTGTCAGGGGATGTCAACTGCACACTTGTGTCTTTTCTCAGGCAGACTATGACTCACTCTGGTAGGATCACCTCTTCTTCATCTTTGCATTCTCCACCCACAGCACAAAGTTTTATACCAAATGACCGCTGTCTGAGTGAAAATGAAAAGGAATTGGATCGCATCTTTTATTCTTAAAAACTGTTCTATTTGGACCATCTGAGCAGATCCCACCAGGAGATTAAGGAATGGGAAGAGATCTCCAAGTGGACTTAGGCTCCAGCAGGGATCCACGACATGTGAAATCATTGGAGATGCATTGCCACCTCCTTCTTCAAGCTCTAGTTTGCTGAGAAACAAGGAGAATCAGGCTGAGAAGGCTTGGAGGCATGTAGGCCAAAGGGGCAGGAGGGAGTCTGTCTCCCCTGCAGAAGCATGTGCTGTCTCTCCACACTGGCTGGAGGCACAGACACAGCAGTGCTGGTAGGCCTGGCAGGCTCCTGGGTTGCTCTCTGATTCTGAGAAAGACAGACAAACTGGTCTCCACCCCTGTCCCTTCCTTTACCATCATACTCTTCTCAGTTTCCTTCCCTCTGGACTTCACTACAGTGGGGCCTTGACTTATGAGTTTAATTCATTCCGTGACGGAGCTCGTAATTCAAATTACTCGTATGTCAAATCAAAAAGTGAACGAGTGAGACACATGATGCTGGACTGATGTTGTGGTGTTCACGGTGACGTTCGCTGCACCAACT